TCCTGTCACATGTATGAACACTGGACTGTCATAGTTATGTCTGTAATCTGGAACATCTATGCTGCCACATGTCTGTACACCTGACTGTCATAGTTATGTCTGTAAACTGGAACATTTATCCTGTCAGATGTCTGTACATCCGGCTGTCATAGTTATGTCTGTAAACTGGAACATCGATCCTGTCACATGTCTGTACACCTGACTGTCATAGTTATGTATGTTAACTGGAACATCTATCCTGTCACATGTCTGTGCACCTGACTGTCATAGTTATGACTGTTAACTGGAACATCTATGCTCCTTCATGTATGTATACTTGACTGTTATAGTTATGTCTGTAAATGAAACATCTATCCTCTCACATGTCTGTACACCTGACTGTGATAGTTATGTCTGTAAACTGAAACATCTATGCTGTCACATGTCTGTACACCTGACTGTCATAGTTATCTCTGTTAACTGGAACATCTATGGTGCCACATGTCTGTGCACCTGACTGTCATAGTTATGTCTGTAATCTGGAACATCTATGCTGCCACATGTCTGTACACCTGACTGTGATAGTTATGTCTGTAAACTGGAACATCTATCCTGTCACATGTCTGTGCACCTGACTGTCATAGTTATGTATGTAAACTGGAACATCTATCCTGTCACATGTCTGTGCACCTGACTGTCATAGTTATGTCTGTAATCTGGAACATCTATGCTGCCACATGTCTGTACACCTGACTGTGATAGTTATGTCTGTAAACTGGAACATCTATCCTGTCACATGTCTGTGCACCTGACTGTCATAGTTATGTATGTAAACTGGAACATCTATCCTGTCACATGTCTCTACACCTGACTGTCAGTTATGTCTGTAAACCTGAAGTCTATCCTGTCACATGTCTGTACTTCTGACTGTCATAGTTATCTCTGTAAACTGGAACATCTATCCTGTCACATGTCTGCACACCTGACTGTCATAGCTATGTATTTAAACTGGAACATCTATCCTGTCACATGTCTGTACACCTGACTGTCAGAGTTATGTATGTAAACTGGAACATCTATCCTGTCACTTGTCTGTACACCTGACTGTCATAGTTATGTCTGTTAACTGGAACATCTATCCTGCCACATGTCTGTGCACCTGACTGTCATAGTTATGTCTGTAATCTGGAACATCTATCCTGTCACATGTCTGTGCACCTGACTGTCATAGTTATGTATGTAAACTGGAACATCTATGCTGTCACATGTCTCTACACCTGACTGTCATAGTTATGTCTGTAAACCTAAAGTCCATCCTGTCACATGTCTGTACACCTGACTGTCATAGTTATCTCTGTAAACTGGAACATCTATCCTGGCACATGTCTGTACACCTGACTGTCATAGCTATGTATGTAAACTGGAACATCTATCCTGTCACTTGTCTGTACATCTGACTGTCATAGTTATCTCTGTTAACTGGAACATCTATCCTGTCACATATCTGCACACCTTACTGTCATAGTTATGTCTGTAAACTGGAACATCTATCCTGTCACATGTCTGCACACCTGACTGTCATATCTATGTATGTAAACTGGAACATCTATCCTGTCACTTGTCTGTACACCTGACTGTCATAGTTATCTCTGTTAACTGGAACATCTATGCTCCTTCATGTATGTACACTTGACTGTCATAGTTATGTCTGTAAATGAAACATCTATCCTCTCACATGTCTGTACACCTGACTGTGATAGTTATGTCTGTAAACTGAAACATCTATCCTGTCACATGTCTGTACACCTGACTGTCATAGTTATCTCTGTTAACTGGAACATCTATGCTGCCACATGTCTGTGCACCTGACTGTCATAGTTATGTCTGTAATCTGGAACATCTATGCTGCCACATGTCTGTACACCTGACTGTGATAGTTATGTCTGTAAACTGGAACATCTATCCTGTCACATGTATGTGCACCTGACTGTCATAGTTATGTATGTAAACTGGAACATCTATCCTGTCACATGTATGTACACCTGACTGTCATAGTTATGTCTGTTAACTGGAACATCTATGCTGCCACATGTCTGTACACCTGACTGTCATAGTTATGTCTGTAAACTGGAACATCTATCCTGTCACATGTCTGTACACCTGACTGTCATAGTTATGTCTGTAAACTGAAACATCTATCCTGTCACATGTCTGTACACTTGACTGTCATAGTTATGTCTGTAAACTGGAACATCTATCCTGTCACATGTCTGTGCACCTGACTGTCATAGTTATGTATGTAAACTGGAACATCTATGCTGTCACATGTCTCTACACCTGACTGTCATAGTTATGTCTGTAAACCTGAAGTCTATCCTGTCACATGTCTGTACTTCTGACTGTCATAGTTATGTCTGTAAACTGGAACATCTATCCTGGCACATGTCTGTACACCTGACTGTCATAGCTATGTATGTAAACTGGAACATCTATCCTGTCACCTGTCTGTACATCTGACTGTCATAGTTATCTCTGTTAACTGGAACATCTATCCTGTCACATATCTGCACACCTTACTGTCATAGTTATGTCTGTAAACTGGAACATCTATCCTGTCACATGTCTGCACACCTGACTGTCATAGCTATGTATGTCAACTGGAACATCTATCCTGTCACTTGTCTGTACACCTGACTGTCATAGTTATCTCTGTTAACTGGAACATCTACCCTGTCACATGTCTGCACACTTTACTGTGATAGTTATGTCTGTAAACTGGAACATCTATCCTTTCACATGTCTGTACACCTTACTGTCATAGTTATGTCTGTAAACTGGAACATCTATCCTGTCACATGTCTGTGCACCTGACTGTCATAGTTATGTCTGTAAACCCGAACATCTATCCTGTCACATGTCTGTACACCTGACTGTCATAGTTATGTTTGTAAACCCGAACATCTATCCTGTCACTTGTCTGTACACCTGACTGTCATAGTTATGTCTGTAAACTGGAACATCTATCCTGTCACATGTCTGTACACCTTACTGTCATAGTTATGTCTGTAAACTGGAACATCTATGCTGCAACATGTCTGTACACCTGACTGTGATAGTTATGTCTGTAAACTGGAACATCTATCCTGTCACATGTCTGTGCACCTGACTGTCATAGTTATGTCTGTAAACTGGAACATCTATCCTGTCACATGTATGTACATCTGACTGTCATAGTTATGCATGTAAACTGGAACATCGATCCTGTCACATGTCTGTACACTTGACTACTACAGTTATGTCTGTAAACTGGAACATCTATCCTGTCACATGTCTGTGCACCTGACTGTCATAGTTATGTCTGTAAACTGGAACATCTATCCTGTCACATGTATGTACATCTGACTGTCATAGTTATGCATGTAAACTGGAACATCTATCCTGTCACATGTCTGCACACTTTACTGTGATAGTTATGTCTGTAAACTGGAACATCTATCCTTTCACATGTCTGCACACCTGACTGTCATAGCTATGTATGTAAACTGGAACATCTACCCTGTCACATGTCTGCACACTTTACTGTGATAGTTATGTCTGTAAACTGGAACATCTATCCTTTCACATGTCTGTACACCTTACTTTCATAGTTATGTCTGTAAACCCGAACATCTATCCTGTCACATGTCTGTACACCTGACTGTCATAGTTATGTTTGTAAACCCGAACATCTATCCTGTCACTTGTCTGTGCACCTGACTGTCATAGTTATGTCTGTAAACTGGAACATCTATCCTGTCACATGTCTGTACACCTGACTGTCATAGTTATGTCTGTAAACTGGAACATCTATCCTGTCACATGTCTGTACAACTGACTGTGATAGTTATGTCTGTAAACTGGAACATCTATCCTGTCACATGTCTGTTCACCTGACTGTCATAGTTATGTCTGTAAACTGGAACATCTATCCTGTCACATGTCTGTACACCTGACTGTCATAGTTATGTCTGTAATCTGGAACATCTATGCTGCCACATGTCTGTACACCTGACTGTGATAGTTATGTCTGTAAACTGGAACATCTATCCTGTCACATGTCTGTGCACCTGACTGTCATAGTTATGTCTGTAAACTGGAACATCTATCCTGTCACATGTATGTACACCTGACTGTCATAGTTATGCATGTAAACTGGAACATCTATCCTGTCACATGTCTGTACACTTGACTACTACAGTGATGTCTGTAAACTGGAACATCTATCCTGTCACATGTCTGTGCACCTGACTGTCATAGTTATGTCTGTAAACTGGAACATCTATCCTGTCACATGTATGTACATCTGACTGTCATAGTTATGCATGTAAACTGGAACATCTATCCTGTCACATGTCTGCACACTTTACTGTGATAGTTATGTCTGTAAACTGGAACATCTATCCTTTCACATGTCTGCACACCTGACTGTCATAGCTATGTATGTAAACTGGAACATCTACCCTGTCACATGTCTGCACACTTTACTGTGATTGTTATGTCTGTAAACTGGAACATCTATCCTTTCACATGTCTGTACACCTTACTTTCATAGTTATGTCTGTAAACCCGAACATGTATCCTGTCACATGTCTGTACACCTGACTGTCATAGTTATGTCTGTAAACTGGAACATCTATCCTGTCACATGTCTGTACACCTGACTGTGATAGTTATGTCTGTAAACTGGAACATCGATCCTGTCACATGTCTGTACACCTGACTGTCATAGTTATGTCTGTAAACTGGAACATCTATGCTGCCACATGTCTGTACACCTGACTGTGATAGTTATGTCTGTAAACTGGAACATCTATCCTGTCACATGTCTGTGCACCTGACTGTCATAGTTATGCATGTAAGCTGGAACATCTATCCTGTCACATGTCTGTGCACCTTACTGTCATAGTTATGTCTGTAAACTGGAACATCCATCCTGCCACATGTCTGTACATCTGACCGTCACATATGTATGTATACTGTACCGTCACAGTTCTGTATGTCCGCTGCCACTTCTATCCTGCCACATGGGGCTCTCCTCACATCGCCATCAGATTCGTACTGTTTCAGCCGGTCCCGCAGTATCTTCAATTCGCTCTGTAAATGTGTATTTGAATGCAAATTGAATAAATAATGATGCAGCTGGATAACTCCAAGGCAGAGAAACCAGTACTGAGTTCCTAAGTGACTATTAAGTTTGGTTAAATATTGTTCATCGGTTTATCCTATCGGATCGTAACAAAACTAGCCCTGTCAAAACACCTCGTGGGTACGAGAACAAATTAGCCAAAGTTTTATCAAAGAATATTGATATATTTAATAAAAAAAGACACAAGGCTGAGATTCTATTTTTCATCCAAACTCATTCTTTCAACTTTTTCAGTTTGTAAACATTAATTACCAGTGTCTTGAGTGTAAACAGCTAACCAGCTTCAGTGGCAGAGAGATAAGTGAAGTCATTCGATTGTGACGTCATTGTAACTGATGACATCACCATGGTCTGCAAAGCATTGTCATGCAATTTCACTGCAGAATATCTTCTTCGGAGAGATCACTTGATCTCACCACGCAATATCTCCCTTGGAAGCCAGTTTTGGATGATAAATGGCTCTATCACGTTTAGGTGGAGGTTTCCGTCACAAAAGGTTATTATGTCCATTTCAACAACGTAATGATCATTGATTCAGTAAAATCAAATTTCCAAATGACCCATAAGGTTCTTGCATAAAGAGTGAGTGAGTGAGTGAGTTTGTTTTAACGCCGCCTTTAACAGTATTCCAGTTATATCACGGCGTGTCAGCTTAATGTGGGAGGAAAGCTCGAAGTGATGCAGGTCTTAGACGTTTACCACTTCGGTGAAACCGACGAGCACGGGTATGGTGCTGACAAACCTAGAAACATAATCGGGGCGAACCGGGATTCGAACCCACAATCATAGGTTTCAGGTGTGTTCAAGGGACGCAACTCTGCACAGCGAATCGCGGCGCCTTAGACGACTGGGCCACCCGTGCCCCCTCTTGCATAAAGATGAATTTACTTTGACAAACCATCCTGCTCTGTATAAGCCAAGTTGTAGAGATACACCATTCTGTTACTCTGTATAAGTGACTTTTGAGATTGACATCCACCATTCTGTTACACAGTCTGTATAAGTGACTGTAGAGATTGACATCCATCCTTCTGTTACACAGTCTGTTTAAGTGACTGTAGAGACTGACATCCATCCTTCTGTTACACAGTCTGTATAAGTGACTGTAGAGATTGACATACATCATTCTATTACACAGTCTGTATAAGTGACTGTAGAGATTGACATCCATCATTCTCTTACACAGTCTGTATAAGTGACTCTTGAGATTGACATACACCATATTGTTACACAGTCTGTATAAGTGACTGTAGAGATTGACATACATCATTCTGTTACACAGTCTGTATAAGTGACTGTAGAGATTGACATACACTATTCTGTCAATCTCTACAGTCACTTATACAGACTGTGTGACAGAATGATGGGATCTCTACAGTCTGAACAAGTGACTGTAGAGATTGACATACACTATTCTGTTACACAGTCTGTATAAGTGACTGTAGAGATTGAAATACACCATTCAGTTACACAGTCTGTATAAGTGACTGTAGAGATTGACATACACCATTCTGTTACACAGTCTGTATAAGTGACTGTAGAGATTGACATCAATCCTTCTATTACACAGTCTGTATAAGTGACTGTAGAGACTGACATCCATCATTCTGTTACACAGTCTGTATAAGTGACTGTAGAGATTGACATACACTATTCTGTTACACAGTCTGTATAAGTGACTGTAGAGACTGACATCGATCCTTCTGTTACACAGTCTGTATAAGTGACTGTTGAGATTGACATCCATCATTCTGTTACACAGTCTGTATAAGTGACTGTAGAGATTGACATCCACCATTCTGTTACACAGCCTGTATAAGTGACTGTAGAGACTGACATACATCATTCTGTTACACAGTCTGTATAAGTGACTGTAGAGATTAGCATACATCATTCTGTTACACAGTCTGTATAAGTGACTGTAGAGATTGACATACACTATTCTGTTTGACAGTCTGTATAAGTGACTGTAGAGATTGACATCCATCATTCTGTTACACAGTCTGTATAAGTGACTGTAGAGATTGACATACACTATTCTGTTACACAGTCTGTATAAGTGACTGTAGAGATTGACATACATCATTCTGTTACACAGTCTGTATAAGTGACTGTAGAGATTGACATACACTATTCTGTTACACAGTCTGTATAAGTGACTGTAGAGATTGCCATAAATCATTCTGTTACACAGTCTGTATAAGTGACTGTAGAGATTGACATACATCATTCTGTTACATAGTCTGTATAAGTGACTGTAGAGATTGACATCCATCCTTCTGTTACACAGTCTGTATAAGTGACTGTAGAGATTGACATACATCATTCTATTACACAGTCTGTATAAGTGACTGTAGAGATTGAAATCCACCATTCAGTTACACAGTCTGTATAAGTGACTGTAGAGATTGACATCCACCATTCTGTTACACAGTCTGCAGTCTGTATAAGTGACTGTAGAGATTGACATCCATCATTCTGTTACACAGTCTGTATAAGTGACTGTAGAGATTGACATCCACCATTCTGTTACACAGTCTGTATAAGTGACTGCAGAGATTGACATACATCATTCTGTTACACAGTCTGTATAAGTGACTGTTGAGATTGACATACACTATTCTGTTACACAGTCTGTATAAGTGACTGTAGAGATTGACATCCACCATTCTGTTACACAGTCTGTATAAGTGACTGTAGAGATTGACATACATCATTCTGTTACACAGTCTGTATAAGTGACTGTTGAGATTGACATACACTATTCTGTTACACAGTCTGTATAAGTGACTGTAGAGACTGACATCCATCATTCTGGTACACAGTCTGTATAAGTGACTTTTGAGATTGACATACACTATTCTGTTACACAGTCTGTATAAGTGACTGTAGAGACTGACATTCCGTCATTCTGTTACACAGTCTGTATAAGTGACTGTAGAGATTGACATCCACCATTCTGTTACACAGCCTGTATAAGTGACTGTAGAGATTGACATACATCATTCTGTTACACAGTCTGTATAAGTCACTGTAGAGATTGACATACACTATTCTGTTACACAGTCTGTATAAGTGACTGTAGAGACTGACATCCATCATTCTGGTACACAGTCTGTATAAGTGACTGTTGAGATTGACATACACTATTCTGTTACACAGTCTGTATAAGTGACTGTAGAGACTGACATCCATCATTCTGTTACACAGTCTGTATAAGTGACTGTAGAGATTGACATACACTATTCTGTTACACAGCCTGTATAAGTGACTGTTGAGATTGACATACATCATTCTGTTACACAGTCTGTTTAAGTGACTGTAGAGATTGACATACACTATTCTGTTACACTGTCTGTATAAGTGACTGTTGAGATTGACATTCATCATTCTGTCACACAGTCAGTATAAGTGAATCTGTAGAGATACACAGTTCTGTTACACAGTCTGTATAAGTGACTGTAGAGATTGACATCCTTCCTTCTGTTACACAGTCTGTATAAGTGACTGTAGAGATTGACATACACTATTCTATTACACAGTCTGTATAAGTGACTGTAGAGATTGAAATCCACCATTAAGTTACACAGTCTGTAGAAGTGACTGTAGAGATTGACATCCACCATTCTGTTACACAGTCTGCAGTCTGTATAAGTGACTGTAGAGATTGACATCCATCATTCTCTAACACAGTCTGTATAAGTGACTGTAGAGATTGACATCCACCATTCTGTTACACAGTCTGTATAAGTCACTGTAGAGATTGACATACATCATTCTGTTACACAGTCTGTATAAGTGACTGTAGAGATTGACATACATCATTCTATTACACAGTCTGTATAAGTGACTGTAGAGATTGAAATCCACCATTCAGTTACACAGTCTGTATAAGTGACTGTAGAGATTGACATCCACCATTCTGTTACACAGTCTGCAGTCTGTATAAGTGACTGTAGAGATTGACATCCATCATTCTGTTACACAGTCTGTATAAGTGACTGTAGAGATTGACATCCACCATTCTGTTACACAGTCTGTATAAGTGACTGCAGAGATTGACATACATCATTCTGTTACACAGTCTGTATAAGTGACTGTTGAGATTGACATACACTATTCTGTTACACAGTCTGTATAAGTGACTGTAGAGATTGACATCCACCATTCTGTTACACAGTCTGTATAAGTGACTGTAGAGATTGACATACATCATTCTGTTACACAGTCTGTATAAGTGACTGTTGAGATTGACATACACTATTCTGTTACACAGTCTGTATAAGTGACTGTAGAGACTGACATCCATCATTCTGGTACACAGTCTGTATAAGTGACTTTTGAGATTGACATACACTATTCTGTTACACAGTCTGTATAAGTGACTGTAGAGACTGACATTCCGTCATTCTGTTACACAGTCTGTATAAGTGACTGTAGAGATTGACATCCACCATTCTGTTACACAGCCTGTATAAGTGACTGTAGAGATTGACATACATCATTCTGTTACACAGTCTGTATAAGTCACTGTAGAGATTGACATACACTATTCTGTTACACAGTCTGTATAAGTGACTGTAGAGACTGACATCCATCATTCTGGTACACAGTCTGTATAAGTGACTGTTGAGATTGACATACACTATTCTGTTACACAGTCTGTATAAGTGACTGTAGAGACTGACATCCATCATTCTGTTACACAGTCTGTATAAGTGACTGTAGAGATTGACATACACTATTCTGTTACACAGCCTGTATAAGTGACTGTTGAGATTGACATACATCATTCTGTTACACAGTCTGTTTAAGTGACTGTAGAGATTGACATACACTATTCTGTTACACTGTCTGTATAAGTGACTGTTGAGATTGACATTCATCATTCTGTCACACAGTCAGTATAAGTGAATCTGTAGAGATACACAGTTCTGTTACACAGTCTGTATAAGTGACTGTAGAGATTGACATCCTTCCTTCTGTTACACAGTCTGTATAAGTGACTGTAGAGATTGACATACACTATTCTATTACACAGTCTGTATAAGTGACTGTAGAGATTGAAATCCACCATTAAGTTACACAGTCTGTAGAAGTGACTGTAGAGATTGACATCCACCATTCTGTTACACAGTCTGCAGTCTGTATAAGTGACTGTAGAGATTGACATCCATCATTCTCTAACACAGTCTGTATAAGTGACTGTAGAGATTGACATCCACCATTCTGTTACACAGTCTGTATAAGTCACTGTAGAGATTGACATACATCATTCTGTTACACAGTCTGTATAAGTGACTGTAGAGATTGACATACATCATTCTGTTACACAGTCTGTATAAGTGACTGTTGAGATTGACATACACTATTCTGTTACACAGTCTGTATAAGTGACTGTAGAGACTGACATCCATCATTCTGGTACACAGTCTGTATAAGTGACTTTTGAGATTGACATACACTTTTCTGTTACACAGTCTGTATAAGTGACTGTAGAGACTGACATTCCGTCATTCTGTTACACAGTCTGTATAAGTGACTGTAGAGATTGACATCCACCATTCTGTTACACAGCCTGTATAAGTGACTGTTGAGATTGACATACATCATTCTGTTACACAGTCTGTATAAGTGACTGTAGAGATTGACATACACTATTCTGTTACACAGTCTGTATAAGTGACTGTAGAGACTGACATCCATCATTCTGGTACACAGTCTGTATAAGTGACTGTTGAGATTGACATACACTATTCTGTTACACAGTCTGTATAAGTGACTGTAGAGACTGACATCCATCATTCTGTTACACAGTCTGTATAAGTGACTGTAGAGATTGACATTCACTATTCTGTTACACAGCCTGTATAAGTGACTGTTGAGATTGACATACATCATTCTGTTACACAGTCTGTTTAAGTGACTGTAGAGATTGACATACACTATTCTGTTACACAGTCTGTATAAGTGACTGTTGAGATTGACATTCATCATTCTGTCACACAGTCAGTATAAGTGAATCTGTAGAGATACACAGTTCTGTTACACAGTCTGTATAAGTGACTGTAGAGATTGACATCCTTCCTTCTGTTACACAGTCTGTATAAGTGACTGTTGAGATTGACATACATCATTCTGTTACACAGTCTGTATAAGTGACTGTAGAGATTGACATACACTATTCTGTTACACAGCCTGTATAAGTGACTGTTGAGATTGACACACATCATTCTGTTACACAGTCTGTTTAAGTGACTGTAGAGATTGACATACACTATTCTGTTACACAGTCTGTATAAGTGACTGTTGAGATTGACATTGATCATTCTGTCACACAGTCAGTATAAGTGAATCTGTAGAGATACACAGTTCTGTTACACAGTCTGTATAAGTGACTGTAGAGATTGACATACACTATTCTGTTACACAGTCTGTATAAGTGACTGTAGAGATTGACATACACTATTCTATTACACAGTCTGTATAAGTGACTGTAGAGATTGAAATCCACCATTCAGTTACACAGTCTGTATAAGTGACTGTAGAGATTGACATCCACCATTCTGTTACACAGTCTGCAGTCTGTATAAGTGACTGTAGAGATTGACATCCATCATTCTCTAACACAGTCTGTATAAGTGACTGTAGAGATTGACATCCACCATTCTGTTACACAGTCTGTATAAGTCACTGTAGAGATTGACATACATCATTCTGTTACACAGTCTGTATAAGTCACTGTAGAGATTGACATACACCATTCTGGTACACAGTCTGTATAAGTGACTGTTGAGATTGACATACACTATTCTGTTACACAGTCTGTATAAGTGACTGTAGAGACTGACATCCATCATTCTGTTACACAGTCTGTATAAGTGACTGTAGAGATTGACATACACTATTCTGTTACACAGCCTGTATAAGTGACTGTTGAGATTGACATACATCATTCTGTTACACAGTCTGTATAAGTGACTGTAGAGATTGACATCCACCATTTTGTTACACAGTCTGCAGTCTGTATAAGTGACTGTAGAGATTGACATCCATTATTCTCTAATAAAGTCTGTATAAGTGACTGTTGAGATTGACATACACTATTCTGTTACACAGTCTGTATAAGTGACTGTAGAGATTGACATACATCATTCTGTAACACAGTCTGTATAAGTGACTGTAGAGATTGACATCCACCATTCTGTTACACAGTCTGTATAAGTGACTGTAGAGATTGACATATATCATTCTGTTACACAGTCTGTATAAGTGACTGTAGAGATTGACATACACTATTCTGTTACACAGTCTGTATAAGTGACTGTTGAGATTGATATACATCATTCTGTCACACAGTCAGTATAAGTGAATCTGTAGAGATACACAGTTCTGTTACACAGTCTGTATAAGTGACTGTAGAGACTGACATCCATCATTCTGTTACATAGCCTGTATAAGTGACAGTCGAGATTGACATCCACCCTTCTGTTACACAGTCTGTATAAGTGACTGTAGAGATTGACATACATCATTCTGTTACACAGTCTGTATAAATGACTGTAGAGATTGAAATCCACCATTCAGTTACACAGTCTGTATAAGTGACTGTAGAGATTGACATCCACCATTTTGTTACACAGTCTGCAGTCTGTATAAGTGACTGTAGAGATTGACATCCATTATTCTCTAATAAAGTCTGTATAAGTGACTGTAGAGATTGACATACACTATTCTGTTACACAGTCTGTATAAGTGACTGTAGAGATTGACATACATCATTCTGTAACACAGTCTGTATAAGTGACTGTAGAGATTGACATCCACCATTCTGTTACACAGTCTGTATAAGTGACTGTAGAGATTGACATATATCATTCTGTTACACAGTCTGTATAAGTGACTGTAGAGATTGACATACACTATTCTGTTACACAGTCTGTATAAGTGACTGTAGAGACTGACATACACTATTCTGTTACACAGTCTGTATAAGTGACTGTTCAGATTGACATACATCATTCTGTTACACAGTCTGTATAAGTGACTGTAGAGATTGACATACATCGTTCTGTTACACAGTCTGTATAAGTGACTGTTGAGATTGACATACACTATTCTGTTACACAGTCTGTATAAGTGACTGTAGAGATTGACATACACTATTCTGTTACACAGCCTGTATAAGTGATCGTTGAGATTGACATACATCAGTCTGTTACACAGTCTGTTTAAGTGACTGTAGAGATTGACATACACTATTCTGTTACACAGTCTGTATAAGTGACTGTTGAGATTGACATACATCATTCTGTCACACAGTCAGTATAAGTGAATCTGTAGAGATACACAGTTCTGTTACTCAGTCTGTATAAGTGACTGTTGAGATTGACATATATCATTCTGTTACACAGTCTCAAAAAGTGACTGTTGAGACTGACACACACATCATTTTGTTACACAGTCTCAAAAAGAGACTGTTGGGATTGACATACACCATTCTGTTACACAGTCTGTATAAGTGACTGTAGAGACTGACATCCATCATTCTGTTACACAGTCTGTATAAGTGACTGTAGAGATTGACATACACTATTCTGTTACATAGCCTGTATAAGTGACTGTTGAGATTGACATACATCATTCTGTTACACAGTCTGTTTAAGTGACTGTAGAGATTGACATACACTATTCTGTTACACAGTCTGTATAAGTGACTGTAGAGATTGACATACATCATTCTGTTACACAGTCTGTATAAGTGACTGTAGAGATTGACATACATCATTCTATTACACAGTCTGTATAAGTGACTGTAGAGATTGACATCCACCATTCTGTTACACAGTCTGTATAAGTGACTGTAGAGATTGACATCCATCATTCCGTAACACAGTCTGTTTAAGTGACTGTAGAGATTGACATACACTATTCTGTTACACAGTCTGTATAAGTGACAGTAGAGATTGCCATACATCATTCTGTTACACAGTCTGTATAAGTGACTGTTGAGATTGACATACCCTATTCTGTTACACAGTCTGTATAAGTGACTGTAGAGATTGACATACACTATTCTGTTACACAGCCTGTATAAGTGACTGTTGAGATTGACATACACTATTCTTTTACACAGTCTGTATAAGTGACTGTTGAGATTGACATCCATCATTCTGTCACACAGTCAGTATAAGTGAATCTGTAGAGATACACAGTTCTGTTACACAGTCTGTATAAGTGACTGTTGAGATTGACATATATCATTCTGTTACACAGTCTCAAAAAGTGACTGTTGAGACTGACACACACATCATTCTGTTACACAGTCTCAAAAAGAGACTGTTGGGATTGACATACACCATTCTGTTACACAGTCTGTAGAAGTGACTGTAGAGATTGACTTAGGATAGTATGCCTTATAAAGTCTTGTCAAGGAACCTCTCTTCGTACAATGTTCACTCCGACTCAGTCGCATAGTGTCGCCCAATTGCTACTGCTAACGACTGTGATTACACATTGTATCCAACCATCAAATATTCATTCATGTGTGAGTCTTACGGCCAAGCCAACACGACAAGTCCTCGAGGACAGATCGATGAGTGAACTTACATGTAGAGTATCGACCTGACGCTTCAGTCTCCCCACCTCCTCCTCCGCCTTGGCCCGAGCTATCTTCTGCTCATTGATCTTCTTGTCTGCGTCCAGCTTCACAGACATTATCACACCTGTTGTCAGATAGTACACGTTTTCTACATCTCGAAAAAACTCAAGGCAAGGCAAGGAATACAATCGGCTTGTACAATATTGTAATCCTTCGTCTCGAGGCCAGTCTAAGACGTCAACGGATTGTAGGAATTTTGACTCTGTGATAATTACACATTATTGGTTAATTACCATTATTATCGGCATGATCACACAAGTGTAGTGTTTGTCCAACAGGTTTCCTTCAACTTACAATGTTAAAAAATCACCTTTTCCAATCTAGTTCAAATTTACTGGAACATATGTTAAATAAGAGATTTAAATACCGTTTATTATTCTTGTTATTCTCCATAACCTGAGCAAGACCATGAGCCCTGCCGCGTCTTTTGCAGCTGACGTCACAGACACGAAGGAGAAAGCTATGTCCATCGAAAAGGAGACCAGAACGATGATGGCATCGAATACCTGCAATTAACAACCATATCTAGGTGAGGTGAAGTTGGGTTTAACGTCGCGTCCAAGATTATTGCATTGCACGTATATATAGCGACGCGCATGCACGGGTTTGTGTGCGTGCGTGCGTGCGTGCGTGCGTGCGTGCGTGTGTGTGTTTGTCTGCTTGTACTTGTCCGGACTAATGCCGATTTTATAGAGCCAGCCCACTGAGATACCATGCCGCCGTTTAACATAGATACCTCACTTGGACACAGTATACTGACTCCGAGCCGACCGATCTTTCCCGAGCGCAAGGCAGGGTAATAACAAGTACCATCTTTTAAAGTCTTGTGATATGACGCGGCCGGGGATCCGGCCCCCGACCTTCCACTCTCTGGGCAAACACTCAGTCGGAGGTCATCCATATCACGTGATATTATATGATGGCATGCCTGATCCATGCAATGGGATTCACTTACAACACATACAAGGCATATAATTGCTGATTACATTACAATATAAGATTCCTACGCGATAAATCGCAAAGAACAATGAAGAACGAAATGTGACTTATTTCACGATGAAACATTGTTCTATCATGACGTCATTTCAGGAGTTTGGAACATGCTCTCGCAACTTGATTACGTCGTAGATTGGTCGACGTTCGTTTTGAGAGGGAAGTGTCTAGTATCTAGTTGTTCCCTATAGATGTAGCTGGGCAACGCGGAACGATCGCATCCAAAAGCGGGAGGATATGACAATCAGTATTGGGAGAAAAGGTACATCAAACTTAACTCCCCTGCTCACAAAATGGACTTGTCCGATATTGCCGGGATCGAGAGTATTCAGGGAGTCATTGTTCTTTAAATATGGGTAAATATTTCCAAAGCTTGTACATTTTTAACACCCTTAAAGAAGCTGTTCATAATGTTGATATCTCATAAGAAATAAACAACTGCGCCTCCTGGTTTATTCTCCCTGTAGTGTTGTATTGTACGATAAACAACTCCTACTCAAATTCCTAATTAACACAATAATGTCCATCTTTACATTTTCTGTGCAATCGATGTCTTTCAAGTATCGAATCAAGGCAAGCTAAATACATTGTAGATGCGACACGAGTTGTACAAAGGTTTGGGTCTAAGCTGGTGGGTATTGTTTGGTTTAGGTGGGAATTAATTTTATTCCTAACGTTTCAGCAGAGAATGCCCATGAAAATTATTGAACCAAATTCCATCTGCCTCAAAAGTTTAACTTTCTACACCGCTGTATGTTAGTATATTCGTCTCACTAACAAATGTCGAATAGCATGTTCACCTGGACGCTAGCCCTTAGGCTAGCGATTGATTTGCGTCGCCTCTCACCACAATGCCTGCATGTTCTCACAGATTCACAAGGCCACAAAGGCATTACTAACTACAAACATTGGACATTTTCGGACTCAACGTTATTTCTTGGGGATTTGTGTAAGAATTGTTTAAGGACTGTACAGAGTATGATCGACGTTGCATCGGAATTTAACCAGTGATATCATATAGAAAACAATGAATTGCTTCAGTGGACACTGGAACTTTCCCCGACACATAAATGAAACCACTGGCGTTGAAATACCTGCACTATTCTACATTACATAGTTACTGATTTACGTTCCATAGTATTCTACAATAGTTCACAAGTAACGCTGATGTATGCTGTCATATTACACGCGTCTACTACGTGCTTACATCTCAACACAAACAGCTGTGTTCTGTGTCAGTGTCTCCATAGAGGAAGTGAATACCTGGACGGTGCAAGATCAGTAGCGGCTAGGTCACCGCGACCGGTGGTAGCCAGGCTATGACAAATAAGGGCATATTACTACATTTTTGCCAAAAACTACCTCATGTAATTTTAATGTCAAGTCAGCTTTTAATCGATACCATGCACGTCATGATCGCCGATCAGCACAACTCCAATCAAATACAAAGAAGAAAACAGGTTCCTGTCAAACCACTGCTGACATGGTCACACCAAGACTAAATTGAGTTTATGGCTCTAGGAGATCTCTGTTAATACGCGGTAGAGAAAATGTCGACATGGCACGTTTGATCACTTGAGGTGTTGCTATTGGCACTATCACTTCAGTGCTGATGGGGAGATTTTAGATTCCACGCGGAGAAAATGAAAGATAAGCTCAACACAGCTCTTGGTTTATTAGTATAAACCAAAGAAACACAGCTAGTTAATTATTACATGTACCAAAATGTTAGTTGCTATGCAACATTACTTTTTGTTAAAGACCGTTGTAATCTCCGGCTGTTCCAATGCCTAATTGGTCACATTGACACAGTGGTGAAAAACAACGCTGGATATTCTGCCACATATGGTATGTTGGTGTGGAGAATGAAGTTTGTGTTTACATCTTTCGTGTACAGCTGGTGATAGTGTGTGATAATGCATAATTGGATTCCCTTGTTAAAATAGCACCCTGTTACAGTCACCGGGCTCTAGTTCAGTTTGCACAGCGTAACGCTTTTGTGTCACAAATCGTTAATTCAGAAATATGTCCAAAATGAATAGCCTGTTGGCAGTCGTGAAAAATATATTTTTTGATAACAGCCATTTCTTGAAATCAAATCATAGAACAAATGGCTTTCTCTAAAACAAGACACATGTTTATTCGATTATATACACATGCACAAAAGTTAAGCGCCACCATATTCATAGTCTCTTGATTTCACGTGTGGGAATCAGAAATACGAAATATGATGATGTATGACTGAATTAGGCTTCCATAGTTTCATGAACCCAAATTTGTCCAGATACCACAAGGAAAGCGTGCTTTACGTGTTGCTGCAGTTCCCCTACCCTATAAATAGTTCCAGACACGTGGTTGCATTTTGCTCCTGTGTGAGATTTCCCTTCCAATAGAGGTTGAAAATCAGTCATGGTGAGGAGAAAGTTAACGAACGCTGAAAGATGGCAAGTGATTGGCATGAAAAATGCTGGCATGTCATGCAGGGCCATTGCAAGACAAATGGGTCGTCATCACAGTGTTATCACTCGTTTGATTGTCAAACATGGTCAAACCAATGATGTCAATGACAGGCATGGGTCTGGTAGGCCAAGAAAGACCTCTAACAGAGAGGATAGACGTCTTTTCAGGATAGTCAGACGAAATCCATTTGCCACTTCAACAGATTTAAGACTGCAGTGGATTACGCATCAGAGACTCTCGACGATGACCGTAAGGCGTCGCCTCAGAGCGGCTGGTTATAACGCCAGAAGACCAGTAAAACGTCCTCAACTGACTCAGAGGCACATGCGGAATCGTCTGATATGGTGTCGTGCCCGTAGTCCATGGAACTTGGCCAACTGGAGAAGGATCCATTGGTCTGACGAGTGTCGAATGCTGCTACGAACTGTTGATGGTCGAATACGTGTTTGGAGGCAACGTAACACTCGTTTTGCACCACGGAACATCCAGAAGACCTTAGCATGTGGCGGGGGGTCTGTCATGATATGGGGTTGTGTTTCCTTCGGCTGCAAACTTCCGCTGGTGACAATTCGTGGAAACCTGAATAGCCAACATTACCAAGATGCCGTTCTTCGTCCAGTGGTAGTCCCTCATTTTGACAACCATCCTCTTCAGACAAGACCTGTTTACATGGACGACAATGCTAGACCACACAGATCTCGGCAGGTTTGGCTTATTTGCGTCAAGAAGCTATTGACACTCTTCCTTGGCCGGCCTGTAGTCCGGATCTTAATCCGATTGAGCATCTCTGGGACATTCTTGGCCGGAAAATCAGACATCGTGATCCCCCAGTTCAAAATCTCGCTGGACTTGAAGCCGACTTGTGATGAGTATGTGGCGTAGGGTTGAAGCTGTGGTCAATGTCCGTGGATCATACACACGTTACTGACGTTTCTGTCTTGCAATAGACTCTGCATTCCCTAGGGTGTCTATGTGACACCTGATATGGTCTGCTGATATCATGACAGTTACATGACAAAAAAAGTTTTTCAATGTTTTCTAATCCTTCAATTTCTGGTCTTCGGTAAAAATTCCTTTCTGCTCATATTCTTTTGCAACACAAGATAAACTTGCTTTGGGACAACTTTTGCATCACATGAGGTTTACATATACGGCTTATAACAATCGTACATCTCGTTATAATAGTCATCTTTAGGTGCCAAAAGTAACAGCTCACAAATATGGTGGGTGGCGCTTAACTTTTGTGCATGTGTATATATGGCAAAGGCAGTTACTTTCTTGGAAGTGTAAACGTTCCACCCAGAAGCTGGTATACATGTGATGGCCTTGATGTGTTCCACCAATATGGGCCGGAAGAAGCAAATACACCCTCGTCCTCCACAAGATTACAAGCAGGACTACTGTGTCTGTGTGAAATGTGGATAGGTACCAAAAGGTTTTGTGTAAAATACCCAAACGTCAACCATTGGTTTTAATAGTGAAGTATAAAAGATTGTTTGATGGTGCTCAGTAAATAAATGTTTCTTGGATAAAGCGGATGAAAAACAGATTAGGTCTGTGAAAGGCATTTAGAAGTGATTCACATTAGGAATAGAATATATGGATGTCAACTTCTTTATTATGAGGAACACAACGTTTCGGAGTATATGCTTACTCCTTCAGATGATGCGATACTTTTAGGTGAATCCCAGAAAGATCTCCAAAATTCTCTTGATGTGTTCAAACAATACTGCGATGTGTGGAAACTCAATGTTAACATTGCCAAAACTAAGATTATTATATTTGGAGGAGGCGTGGGTAAAAAATCTAAATTATTTTTTCAATTTGATTCTAAACCAATTGAAATTGTAGATAATTATACGTATCTAGGTATCAACTTCCATCGCAATAGAAGATTTAATACCGCAATAAACGATTTACTGTCTAGCTCTAAAAAGGCCATGTTTGCACTCCTGAAAAAATCAAGAAACCTCAATCTAGCACTTGATACTGTAATCCAATTGTTTGATATCTTAATACTACCTATAGCCTTGTATGGATGTGAAATATGGGGTTGTGAAAATGTTATAAACATTGAAAAATTTCACCTTAAATTTCTAAAGTTTGCTACTGGGTTGCGATCATCAACTCCTAACTTTATGGTTTACGGTGAACTTGGACGTTTTCCTGTGAACATTACAATTGCTAAAAGAATGATCTCATTTTGGTATAACTTAGAAACCATATCTTCTCCTTTCAAGTTGTCATCACGCATCCTTAAACTGTTCAAATTAGATCACACCCTCAATATTAGTAATAGTAACGTAAGGATATCTCACATAAAAAGTATTTAATCAGTTGTGGCTTGACATATGTATTTGATAATCCTGGTTGCGTTTGTAAACAGTGGCTTGTCTCTATGGTAGAAACAGTTCTTAAAGATCATTTTATACAACAATGGAGGGATGATATAGATAAAAGTTCAAAAGGTAATTACTATAAATTGTTCAAAGATTTACCGTCGTTTGAAAAATACCTCCTGTTACCTGATTATTTCTCTCGACCTATTATGTCATTTCGGACATCGAATCATTATTTACCTGTAGAGACAGGCCGCTGGAAAAATATACCCAGAATCAATAGAAATTGTAACCTATGTAGCTCACCGGCGATAGCCGACGAGTTTCATTATTTATTTAAATGCTCCTTTTTTGATACCATGAGATCACATTATATTCCAATTTATCTTTGTAAATGGCCGAATCTTGCAAAGCTCAAGGTTTTGTTTACCTCAAATAATTGCTTAATCGTGAATAATATCTCCAGATTTATAAGAATTATTAATAATGCTGTCAGAAGATAAGAACAACACTACAAACTACAACTTACCAAGTGATCACTACAATTAATTGTTTATCTTATAACTTTATTTGTATTGTTCCTGTACCACCTATGGTGGTTTGTTGGAATAAAACATTGATTGATTGATTGATTCATCAGGTGAATGAATGCCTGACTGACTGAGGTTGGGGATTTAACGTGCGCTTTCCGACTAACAGCGTATGTCGCACACGGGCCGGCCAGGCTATTTAGTGTATTAGCCGAAAGGGGCGTAAATAATTTGCAATCCGATTTGGGGCTTTTAGGGATTGCTTATATAGGAATTTTGAAATTTGGAGATTTGAAATGTATGCCAGGGGGTGGAGAGCCTAAGCGAGGTGTGGTTTGAGTTTGAGGTTTGAAGTGTTGGCTGGGGGGTTAAGAACCGTTGCTAGTGTCATTTGATTGTTGCAAATTAGTGTGGATTGGAGTGTTGTTCTGTGTTGCAGGTAACGTGTGCAATATAGTATTACGTGTTCGGGCATTTCTTTTAAGTTGCAGTGGGGGCACTTACGTTTTGGTGTTGTTTTTTTTTTAATTTGGTGTAGGTGGGAGTTTAACTTAGTGTGGCCTATTTGTAGTTTAGTTATTACTCTGTCAATTTGTTTTGTTTTTTGGTGGATTTTTTGGGTTTTGAGTGGCTTTTGTAGCAGGTGTTTTAGTTTGCAATCAGATTTCTGATAGTTATTTTGCCACTTTTGGAAGATTTTCTCCTTTGTGATACTTTTAATTTCGTTTTTTTGATATTGGTATTGAACCTATCTGCCTAGTGCTTGGGACTTTGATCTTTGTCGTGGCAAATTGCCTAGCTGGCTTCAATTTGCCCCTTGCTATGTCCATTCTTACACCTTTCAGTGCTAATTACCCCCAAACCCCACCCCCATTTGCCCAGTGTCCATTACTTAGCACTATTACTTAAGTGTTGGATTCCATTGTCTATTGCTAATCACCTTATCAGCGCCAATCATCTGTTAGCTTCCTTTGTTAGCTTGTACCCTTTGTTAGTTTCCACCTTTTGTTATCATATTTATTTTGTTGCCCTAACATGTACATATATATGCTCTCTGCCTCATGGCATTCATTCACCTGATGAAGGAGTAAGCATATACTCCGAAACGTTGTGTTCCTCATAATAAAGAAGTTGACAGCCATATATTCTCTTCCGTATGAAAAACAGATTGTTCGCAAAAACAATTACCACCCCTCCCCTACAACTCAAATGGACGCTAACTAAGGCGGCACAATTCTTAGTTGCACCCCTTAGGCGCGGCAGAAACCTGTTATCATAGTTTCGAATCCCTTACCCTCACCGATCATATTTCTATGTTTGTAAGCACTACATAAGCGTTTTTCTAAGAATACATACCTCAGCTTTATGTTTCAATAAATGTGTTCCTTCTGCTATGATTTTACATATAACCTGAAAGTAGAACCATAGTGTTATTAGATCTGTCTCTGAACATTATAGAGAGTGGTTCATATCTTCGTATAGAACTATACCGCATGAGAAGTCTTATTCCCACGTTAGTGATATTAAGAACATTTAACACCATAATACATTAAACAAGATCATGGCTTCAATAACTGAACACAATCTACATTTTGTTGTAACATGCACCAATATGGGGAGTTATAAGCACCTACCTCCACTACAAATATAGCCAATATTGTCAAGCTAGCGTAATGGAGCGAATGTTCGACAATTTCTTTGTTACTGTGATGATGAGGATGATGAAGAACATGATGGTGAGTATCGTTGCTGCTATTTATATAAACAGGATTGTCTGTTGCATTCGTGTCCGTTATGTGCACGTATTTGTCCTCAGAATGATGGTCGGTTGATCTTGTCATTCTTCGAGAATGTCCGTGATTTTCTGTCTCATTGTAGACGCCCATTTCGTACCAATCAGCCGTGTGATTGGTATGATGAGTTGCATTGACATGAGTCTCAACTTGGCCATTCTCCGGAACTGAAAACATAAGAGATATAATTACTAGAGGCCCGAGCAGATTCATGTCAGATACAATATTTAAATATTGTTTGGGTAGAAAAGGTTAAATGAGACAGAGACTTTAAGCGCCGTTCAGAGAGTCCGCCTATGCCCTGGCTCCGGAGCAGCACACAAGAGTTCGTGCTTGTCGTGAGGTTTGAAACGTGTTGTGTCTGATGTAATACACATGTAATCCGACATCGTGCTTCGGTATTCTTGTTATCAACCTCTAGGTAATTTGCTCCAGACACTGTGATATAAATGTAATAAGGCTAACTCTTAGTTACATGCATTCACTATATCCACTCGACCACTTACCACATCCACGCGTGCACAGTTACACAAACACTCACTCACTTGTCCCCGCAACCCCAATCAAATTTTAATCCCCCAGTGCCACCAGTAAGTCAGCTTTGCCCGACCACCAACCCGAATCCGACCAAAACATCTCTCATTCCGCGACCAAACCGACTAAATTTCCCCAATGCCAATCAACCACATCTCGCTCTTGTTCAATGCAGTCACACCACCTCTTACTCAACGCATACATTAAACCACCTATCACTCACTCCATGCAATGAAACCGCCTCTCACTCACAGCCTCCAATCAAACCACCTCTCACTCGCCGTGTGCCTTCAAACACCTCTCACTCACAGAATGCCACCAAACCACGTCTCACTCGCCCCATGCCCTCAAACCACATCTCAGTCACCGCCTCCAATCAAACCATCTCTCACACCACCGCATGCAATTAAACAACCACTTACCCACCGTCTCCAATCAAAAAACCTCTCACTCGCCCCATGCCAACAAACCACCTCTCACCCACCGCCTCCAATCAAACAACCTCTCACTCGTCCCATGCCATCAAACCTTATCTCTCTCTCCACTTGCCATCAAACCACCTCTCCCTCGACCCATGCCATCAAACCACCTCTCCCTCGACCCATGCCATCAAACTACCTCACACTCACCGCCTCCAATGAAACCGACTCTCACTCACCCCATGCCACCAAACCACCTCAAACTCACATCAAGCCATCACACCACATCTCACTCGCGCCATGCCATCAAACCACCTCTCACTCGTTCCATGATATCAAACCACATCTCACTCAACCGCATGATATGAAACCACCTCTCACTCACTGCATGCCTTCGAACCACCTCTCACTAACAGCATGCCATTAAGCCTCTCACTTGCCCCATGCCATCAGACCACTTCTCACTCGCTCCATGCCATCACACCACATCTCACTCGCGCCATGCCATCAAACCACCTCTCACTCGCCCCATGTCATCAAACCACATCTCACTCAACCACATGATATGAAACCACCTCTCACTCACTGCATGCCTTCAAACCACCTCTCACTAACAGCATGCATTTAAGACTCTCACTCGCCCCATGCCATCAAACCACCTCTCACTCACCGCCTCTAATCAAACCACCTCTTACTCGTCCCATGCCATCAAACCACCTCTCACTCACAGCCTCCAATCAAACCACCTCTCATTCGCCCTGTGCCTTCAAACACCTCTCACTCACAGAATGCCACCAAACCACGTCTCACTCGCCCCATGCCCTCAAACCACATCTCAGTCACCGCCTCCAATCAAACTATCTCTCACACCACCGCATGCAATCAGACAACCACTTACCCACCGTCTCCAATCAAAAAACCTCTCACTCGCCCCATGCCAACAAACCACCTCTCATCCACCCCCTCCAATTAAACAACCTCTCACTCGTCCCATGCCATCAAACCTTATCTCTCTCTCCACTTGCCATCAAACCACCTCTCCCTCGACCCATGCCATCAAACCACCTCTCACTGGACCCATGCCATCAAACTACCTCACACTCACCGCCTCCAATGAAACCGACTCTCACTCTCCCCATGCCATCAAACAACCTATCAATCACCGTCCCCAGTCAAACGAACCTCTCACTCGACCCATGCCATCAAACCTTACCTCTCTCGCCACTTGCCATCAAACCACCTCTCACTCGACCCATGCCATCAAACCACCTCTCACTCGACCCGTGCCATCAAATCACCTATCACTGACCCCATGCCACCAAACCACCTCACACTCACAGCCTCCAATCAAACCACCTCTCATTCGCCCTGTGCCTTCAAACACCTCCCACTCACAGAATGCCACCAAACCACGTCTCACTCGCCCCATGCCCTCAAACCACATCTCAGTCACCGCCTCCAATCAAACCATCTCTCACACCACCGCATGCAATCAAACAACCACTTACCCACCGTCTTCAATCAAAAAACCTCTCACTCGCCCCATGCCAACAAACCACCTCTCACCCACTGCCTCCAATCAAACAACCTCTCATTCGTCCCATGCCATCAAACCACATGTCACTCGACCCATGCCATCAAACCACCTCTCACTCACCCCATGCCACCAAACCACCTCAAACTCATATCATGCCATCACACCACATCTCACTCGCGCCATGCCATCACACCACGTCTCACTAGCGCCATGCCATCAAACCACCTCTCACTCGTTCCATGATATCAAACCACCTCTCACTCGTCCCATGATATCAAACCATCTCTCACTCACCTCCTCCAATCAAACAACCTCTCAATCTCACATCATGCTATCAAACCACCTCACATTCACCCCATACCATCAAACCAACTCTCACTCTCCCCATGCCACCAAACCACCTCAAACTCACATCATGCCATCACACCACATCTCACTCGCGCCATGCCATCAAACCATCTCTCACTCGCCCCATACCACCAAACCAACTCTCACTCTCCCCATGCCACCAAACCACCTCAAACTCACATCATGCCATCACACCACGTCTCACTCGCGCCATGCCATCAAACCATCTCTCACTCGCCCCATGCCATCAAACCACCTCTCACTCACCGCCTCCAATCAAACAACCTCTCACACTCGTCCCATGCCATCAAACCACATGTCACTCGCCCCAGGGCATCAAACCACATCTCCCTCGCCCAATGCCATTAAACCACCTCTCACTCTATTTGTGTCTCGGCGGTATGCAGACTTGCAAAGCATTGAGAGGTGTGCAACTGCCGTCTTTTATCACAAACAACTCTTCTATCTAAAGTTGTGTTGTGATGCTTCAGTCGAAGTTCAAAGAGATTGACAATGCGACAACAGTTTAATAACAAAGTGTATGGTAACAAGTATTCCAGAAATACATCTACTTTATATACAAGATGTGTGCGGCTTGTAAGAATCAAAAAGAACTTTATTTTGATTAGTATTTTACGTAATCTGTTACCATGACAACGATGCAACAGTAGCCGACGTCAAGACTTCTTATTCTGTTTGATATAATTCTCCAGCTTGCTGAAAGCGATATCCTCCTATCAGAGAGCAGGGGCAAAAATCCTTGGGGGGTTAGTTTTGGTAGCGTCTTAAGTCTTCTTTCGCTTTTGATTCTAATAACAAGCCAATCAAACTCGTCGTATTTCCGGCCTCAGCCAATTAGATTGCTCGTAGCTAAAAGCGACTTCAGAAATAAACGGCGCTGCGACCTTGGCTACAAAGAGTAGTTTAAGAGCAGACGACGAAAAATAAAGGTTTGGATAAGTTAGGAAATTTTGTGTAAATATGTGGGCATTCCCATGAATATGGTTTTACGAAGCCTTTTCCAGCAATATCACGGCGGGGGACCCCAGAAATGGGCTTCACACACTGTTTCGAATATTTCATTAAGAGAAAAAACAACCTCCTGAAAGAATCATTTCAATTGTAACAGTATATGTTAGATGTATACGTGTGTCCATCTCATTTTCTCAAATGTATTGCAATAAGCATCAAACACATGTCAAACGTCCACGCATTATCGGTTAAATGAGGGCGAAATCAAAGCAACGAGCGAAACTAGGAAGTTCTTAAACAATAATTTTGATATATTTGTTCAGGAACAAAGGTTTTCTTAATTATAATACGATATTTGTCCCCATTCTGGTGACAAATAACGCATTATGGAATGGCAGAAAAACGACATTAAACTGATTAAAGAAACGCCCCGATGAAAGGCTAAAATATAAAATGATAGTGGTTAACAATTTATTAAATTAAAATCAAAGTCTAATATCCATGATATTAACATGCTTATTATATAAATTGTAGTTTTAGTTTCTAGTGTGTTTTTGTTTAACATCTATTTGACAAGAAAATCGTTATTATTCATATGAAGCTTTTGTCATGTGTACTCTTGAAAGTGACAGGTAATGTTTCTGACAGCGCCAGCATGGATAGGCTTAGATTGAGAAGGGATCAAACCAGAGTCCTAGACATTTCTTCATATGGTGACATTCAGTGCCCAGTGTCATGTATCATGAGTAAGAAGTAAGCCAAGGGTGAACTTACTGACGATGATTTCCAGGTCTATGACAATGATTGTGGGAACTTACTGACGATGGTCTCCCGCTTTATTTCAATGATTGGGGGAACATACAGACAGTTATCTTCAGATGTACGTCAATGCTTGGAAGGAACTTTCATTGATAACCAGGTTTATGGCAATGATTGGGGAAACTTACTGACATTGATCTCCAGTTCTATTGCAATGATTGGGGAACTTACTAACGATGATCTCCAGGTCTATAAGCATCTCGAAGACGACGATGAGGCTGTCCAGCACGACAAGAGCGATGATGACGTACTGCACTTTGTTCGTCTTCAGAAACTCGGCCAACTTCTCTCGCCATCTACAATAACATTGATCACAAGAAAGGACCCACCATTGGTCAATAGACCATGGTTAACGTCGTTATAGTGTATAATGATTGTATACGGTTGGTCAATCAATATGAATATTACTCACACCAAAGGAACCTAGTTCATTACATCTGGAATAAACTATTCTGAATATCATTACTGCCCTTCCCTATATTCGACTTGGATGTAGCTGACCATAGTTATTCTGAATACTACCGTGCATATAGTGAAATGTGATACTCAAAAGTGGTTAAGATCTGAAACAACTCGAGGTATTACATGGTGTTATGTGTGTAACGGTTAAGTACATGTATGTGATCACTCCAGTGGCATGGTCATATACAGTACTTATAACACTGTCCAAAATAGCTACATACCTTTCTTTTTAATTAAAGATTTGAAACAATACAAGTATTGTAACGTTGTTACAGGGTACATGTAACCCATAGCAACGACGCACTTGAATATACACGCATATACATTTACTAGTATCATAACATAACTACAAACTACTTTTAAGGGATTTAATTCCGCAATTCGTTTAATTGCCGGGAATTTGTCAGTATTCCGTTACATGTATCACGTTTCAAGAAGATTCTTTTCACAATCTATATCGATTAACATATTGTTATCATGTGGCCCGATTATAGTTTCTCTTCTGTATAAGTGTTACAGCGTTATTTACCCATATCAAATAAAAACAGAAGAAAGTATAAAACACATGGAAATGGCGTTCCATATATTCTTTTCTTAGTAATCACTATATGGATCCAGCATGAAGACTGGTTGTTGATGGATATTTCACATGAGCAATTAAATTGTCCACAGCATATGGTGTACACAGGTCACGGTTGTTCCTGGGATTGTAAGGATAGCACAAGTATCCCATTTCCAAACATGTCACTCTCGACAGTGCTGAAACCATGCTCTGTACATGATTGTATCTGTAGGAAACATTAATACAACTATTACTCAGCCTTAAACCTACTACTGCAGTGTACGTCCGATGCAACTTCAGTGGATATTAATCCATCACGCTGAAGGGATTGAAGGATATAGTGTTTGACAGGGCATTGATTCCCTGGTCATCACAGATTCCTGATGTTGAGACGCAGCTTACACCCCTCCTTCATAATTTCACATCTTGTCAGAGAGAATCACCAGCAACCGACTTCCATCAGTATCAGAGGCGATGTAAAAGACATCTAGTATCATCTTGTAGAAGGGCGTCTGACCAAGAGTAGAATCACCAGCAACCGACTCCCATCAGTATCAGAGGCGATGTAAAGGACATCTAGTATCATCTTGTAGATGGGTGTCTGACCAAGAGTAGAATCACCAGCAACCGACTCCCATCAGTATCAGAGGCGATGTAAAGGACACCTTGTATCATCTTGTAGAAGGGTGTCTGACAAGGAGTAGAATCACCAGCAACCGACTCCCATCAGTATCAGAGGCGATGTAAAGGACATCTAGTATCATCTTGTAGAAGGGTGACTGACCAAGAGTAGAATCACAAGCAACCGACTCCCATCAGTATCAGAGACGATGTAAAGGACATCTAGTATCATCTTGTAGAAGGGTGTCTGACCAAGAGTAGAATCACCAGCAACCGACTCCCATCAGTATCAGAGGCGATGTAAAGGACATCTAGTATCATCTTGTAGAAGGGTGACTGACCAAGAGTAGAATCACCAGCAACCGACTCCCACCAGTATCAGAGGCGATGTTAAGGACATCTAGTATCATCTTGTAGAAGGGTGTCTGACCAAGAATAGAATCACCAGCAACCGACTCCCATCAGTATCAGAGGCGATGTTAAGGACATCTAGTATCATCTTGTAGAAGGGTGTCTGACCAAGAATAGAATCACCAGCAACCGACTCCCATCAGTATCAGAGGCGATGTTAAGGACATCTAGTATCATCTTGTAGAAGGGTGTCTGACCAAGAGTAGAATCACCAGCAACCGACTCCCATCAGTATCAGAGGCGATGTAAAGGACATCTAGTATCATCTTGTAGAAGGGTGACTGACCAAGAGTAGAATCACCAGCAACCGACTCCCATTAGTATCAGAGGCGATGTTAAGGACATCTAGTATCATCTTGTAGAAGGGTGTCTGACCAAGAGTAGAATCACCAGCAACCGACTCCCATCAGTATCAGAGGCAATGAAAAGAACATCTAGTATCATCTTGTAGAAGGGTGTCTGACCAAGAGTAGAATCACAAGCAACCGACTCCCACCAGTATCAGAGGCGATGTAAAGGACATCTAGTATCATCTTGTAGAAGGGTGTCTGACCAAGAGTAGAATCACCAGCAACCGACTCCCACCAGTATCAGAGGCGATGTTAAGGACATCTAGTATCATCTTGTAGAAGGGTGTCTGACCAAGAGTAGAATCACCAGCAACCGACTCCCACCAGTATCAGAGGCGATGTTAAGGACATCTAGTATCATCTTGTAGAAGGGTGTCTGACCAAGAGTAGTGGTCGAGACCAGTTTCTTTCCGAATGCCTATAACCCAAAACAAACTCATAAACTTACATAACATACAATTGACAGTGGTCTCCCGTCCTAGAGCGTCCTTCAATCCCACAGAGAGTTTCCCCCTCTTCTACAAAGAATGTCCTTCCATCCTGATAATTCCGTTCAAACTGTAGGATAATGTTATTTGATTAAAGTATAGTTAATCCTCAGCAAGGGCGCTTTTTATCACTGAAGACAATCGGGGTTGATAAGGGCAATGTCAAAGGATGTGACCATTGTGCTCTTACTTTTCTGCCCCATGAAACGTGCAACAGAACCTTGTAAATATTGACAGATTAAATATGCCCAAGTACGAAGCATTGCAATGATGACTTCATGCGGTCGTTCACTAGATACGGGACAACGCCTCTTTTGTATGCACATGATAGTAAAAACATACACCACAAGTCCAGGTGTAGAAGATGTTGCATTTACTTGTGATGGAGTTCAGAAATGACTTAACAGTCGGTAATCCGTTATAATCTGATAGACTCTGATCGAACTTCTTCAAACGTGATTTCACAAACTCTAGACTATTTATAGTTCACATGTACCAATAATATTCGTACACGTCGGAGTGCGGTTAACAAACGGTAGACTGTTTACAGTCGATATGTGACAAGAGTATAGAACACAGATGAATTACACTATTTATCAGGGCAGGATGAATAGCATGAGAATAACACAGAACTCAAATGAATAACACTATTTATCAGGGCAGAATGAAAACCATTAGAATAACGCAGAACACAAATGAATTACACCACCTATCAGGGCAGAATGAAAACCATGAGAATAACGCAGAACACAAATGAATTACACCATCTATCAGGGGAGAATGAAAACCATGAGCATAACACAGAACACAAATGAATTAAACCATCTATCAGGGGAGAATGAAAACCATGAGCATAACACAGAACACAAATGAATTAAACCATCTATCAGGGGAGAATGAAAACCATTAGAATAACAAAAAAAACAAATGAATCACACGATCCATCAGGGGAGATTAAAAACAATGAGAATGAAACAGAACACAAATGAATTACACTATTTATCAAGGGAGAATGACAACCATGTGAATAACAAGAACACAAATGAATAACACTATTTATCAGGGGAGAATGACAACCGTGAGAATAACACAGAACACAAATGACTGACACAATCTATCAGGGCAGAATGAAAACCACGAGAGTAACACAGAACACAAATGAATTACATCATCTATCAGGGGGGATTGAAAACCATGAGTATAGAACACAAATGAATTACACTATTTATCAGGGCAGGATGAATAGCATGAGAATAACGCAGAACACAAATGAATTACACCATCTATCAGGGGAGAATGAAAACCATGAGCATAACACAGAACACAAATGAATTACATCATCTATCAGGGGGGATTGAAAACCATGAGTATAGAACACAAATGAATTACACTATTTATCAGGGCAGGATGAATAGCATGAGAATAACACAGAACTCAAATGAATAACACTATTTATCAGGGCAGAATGAAAACCATTAGAATAACACAGAACATAAATGAATTACACCACCTATCAGGGCAGAATGAAAACCACGAGGATAACGCAAAAACACAAATTAATTTCACCGTCTATCAAAGCAGCTTAAAACCATGAGAATAACACAAAATACAAATGAATCACACGATCGATCAGGGGAGAATGAAAACCATGAGCATAACACAGAACACAAATGAATCATTCAATCTATAAGGGATGAATAAAAACCATGAGAATAATACAGAACACAAATAAATTACACTATCTTTCAGGGCAGAATGAAAACCATGAGAATAACACAGAACACAAATGAATTACACCATCTATCGGAGGAGAATGAAAACCATGAGAATAACACAGAACACAAATGAATTACATCATCTATCAGAGCAGACTGAAAACCTTAAGAATAAAACAGAACACAAATGAATCATTCCATCTATAAGGGCAGAATTACAACCATGAGAATAACACTGAACACAAATGAATTAAACCATCTATAAGGGGAGATTGAAAACCGTGAAAGTAACACAGAACACAAATGAATTACTCCATCTATCAGGGCAGAATAAAGACATTGAGAATAACACAGAACACAAATGAATTACATCATCTGTCAGGGAAGAATGAAAACCATGAGAATAATACAGAACACAAATGGATTACACAATCTACCAGGGCAGATTAAAAACAATGAGAATAACAGAGAACACAAATGAATTCCATCATCTATCAGGGCAGAAGGAAAACCATGCGAATAACACAAAATACAAAGAATTATACTATCTTTCAGGGGAGAATGAAAACCACGAGAATAACGAAAAACACAAATGAATCACACGATCCATCAGGGGAGATTGAAAACTATGAGAATAAAAAAGAACACAAATGAATCACTCCATCTATCAGGGGAGAATGAAAACCATAAGAGTAAAACAGAACACAAATGAATCACTCCATCTTTCGGAGGAGAATGAAACCCATGAGAATAACACAAAACACAAATGAATCACTCCATCTATCAGGGGAGACTGAAAACCATGAGAGTAACGCAGAACACAAATGAATCACTCCATCTATCAGGGCAAAATAATAACCATCAGAATAACCCAGAACACAAATGAATTACACTATCTATAAGGGGGATAATGACAACCATGAGAATGACACAGAACACAAATGAATTACACTATCGATCAGGGGAGATTGAAAACTATGAGAATAAAAAAGAACACAAATGAATCACTCCATCTATCAGGGGAGAATGAAAACCACAAGAGTAAAACAGAACACAAATGAATCACTCCATCTATAAGGGGGATAATGACAACAATGAGAATGACACAGAACACAAATGAATAACACTATCGATCAGGGGAGATTGAAAACTATGAGAATAAAAAAAGAACACAAATGAATCAATCCATCTATCAGGGGAGAATGAAAACCACAAGAGTAAAACAGAACACAAATGAATCACTCAATCTATCAGGGGAGAATGAAAACCATGAGAGTAACGCAGAACACAAATGAATCATTCAATCTATCAGGGATGAATAAAAACCATGAGAATAATACAGAACACAAATAAATTACACTATCTTTCAGGGCAGAATGAAAACCATGAGAATAACACAGAACACAAATGAATTACACCATCTATCGGAGGAGAATGAAAACCATGAGAATAACACAGAACACAAATAAATCATTCAATCTATCAGGGGAGATTAAAAACAATGAAAATAACACAGAATACAAATGAATTACACCATCTATCGGAGGAGAATGAAAACCATGAGAATAACAGAGAACACAAATGAATCATTCAATCTATCAGGGGAGAATGAAAACCATGAGAGTAACGCAGAACACAAATGAATCATTCAATCTATCAGGGATGAATAAAAACAATTAGAATAACAGAGAACACAAACGAGTTACATCATCTTTCAGGGCAGAATGAAAACCATAAGAATAAAACAGAACACAAATGTATCACTTCATCTATAAGGGCAGAATTACAACCATGAGAATAACACAGAACACAAATGAATTAAACCATCTATAAGGGGGGATTGAAAACCATGAGTATAGAACACAAATGAATTACACTATTTATCAGGGCAGGATGAATAGCATGAGAATAACACAGAACTCAAATGAATAACACTATTTATCAGGGCAGAATGAAAACCATTAGAATAACGCAGAACACAAATGAATTACACCACCTATCAGGGCAGAATGAAAACCGTGAAAGTAACACAGAATACAAATGAATTAAGCCATCTATCAGGGCAGAATAAAAACAATGAGAATAACAGAGAACACAAATGAGTTACATCATCTATCAGGGCAGAATAAAACCACCAGAATAACACAGAACACAAATGAATTACACCATCTATCACTGGTAGAATGAAAACCATGAGAATAACACAGAACACAAAGGAATTACTCCATCTATCAGGGCAGATTAAAAACCATGAGAATAAAACAGAACACAAATGAATTACACCATCTATCAGGGGAGAATGAAAACCACGAGAATAACAAACAACACAAATGAATCACACGATCGATCAGGCGAAATTGAAAACAATGAGAATAAAACAGAACACAAATGAATCACTCCATCTATAAGGGCAGAATAAAGACCATGAAAATAAAACAGAACACAAATGAATCACTCCATCTATAAGGGCAGAATAAAAACCATGAGAATAACAGAGAACCCAAATGAATTACACCATCTATCAGGGCAGATTAAAAACAATGAGAATAAAACAGAACACACATGAATTACACTGTCTATCAGGGGAGAATGAAAACCATAAGAATAACACAGAACACAAATGAATTACACCCTCTATCAGGGCAGAAGGAAAACCTTGAGAATAACACAGAACACAAATGAATCACTCCATCTATCAGGGCAAAATAAAAACCATCAGAATAACACAGAACACAAATGAATTACACTATCTATAAGGGGGATAATGACAACCATGAGAATGACACAGAACACAAATGAATTACACTATCTACCAGGGGAGAATGAAAACCATGAGAATAACACAGAACACAAATGAATTTCACTATCTATTAGGGGAGAATGACAACCATGAGAATAACACAGAACACGAATAAATTACACCATCTACCAGGGCAGATTAAAAACAATGAGAATAAAACAGAACACACATGAATTACACTGTCTATCAGGGGAGAATGAAAACCATGAGAATAAAACAGAACACACATGAATTACACCACCTATCAGGGCAGAAGGAAAACCTTGAGAATAACACAGAACACAAATGAATTTCACCGTCTATCAAGGTAGAATGAAAACCATGAGAATAACACAAAACACAAAGAATTATACTATCTTTCAGGGGAGAATGAAAACCATGAGAGTATCGCAGAACCCAAATGAATCACATCTATCAGTGATTGAATCTATCAAAGCAAATTGAATCTATCAAAGCAACACGAAACACAAATCCGAACAGAATAAAATCCTGAAAGTAACACAATTCAAAACATCAAGGTCAGAAGAATAATCAATTTTGATTATCCGCCGAAACAGATTCCATTGAGCCCAAAGGTCAAACCAGTGATACGCATTACATGAATGGATGACTGAAATCAGCGACAACACCAAGTGTTCTCGAAAAGTGTAAGTAGGTCCTGCTCTACCGGTAACACCTGACACTGACACAATTTCCATGAATAACGTTTGTTGTCATGCGACGGCGGCCTGTAAACAATCAAGAATGGACCAGACAATCTAGTGAATGAGTGGGTACGGACCAGGCAATCCATTGACACGATAGATCGTTTACTGATTTTGTTAAAACTAAAAACTTTGAATTACTGCGTACAAATGCAGAAATTCTGCTGCTTACAAGTTAAGAGAAACAGTTAAGTAAATTATTCGTTTTGTAACACAGAGTGTTATGTAGGAGATAGGGACTGTTTTAATGACTTGGCTGCCCGAATACATATTTTGTAATTGAGTCAGAATAGTTTAAAAATACGAGTGACCTTTCGGTGAAACGTGGGACTTCACTCCACAGTAGAAACATCGACTCAGCTCAAGTAATTATTAAACATAAACGCCATAGCTTGTCTACATTATCTGCCGAAACAGATTTCATTGAACGTGAACAAACTAGTGATAAAAAAATGACACAAATGAATGACTCCGACCAACGGAACAGATTGAAACTAGCAACGTAACACAAAACTCAAATGTATCAAGTAACAAGACTCGAATGAAACCTCATCTTCAAACATATTCTCGATAGCAAACCACGTACAAGACAACTGGTCAAGATAACAATCATTTGAAACAAATTGAAAATAACCCCGTTCTCAAACAAACTTTATTTTTCTTTTATTCCATCTTAGTTAAAAAGCAAAGTGTTTTTCCCAAATAAACTTAATTTGCATATTTGTGGTGAAAGGGATATTGAGGCTATTGAACGACTCACCAAACCTGCGACGCAGGTGCTCAAGACTATCTTCCATTCATGCTTTTCGCCTAATAGCATTTAGTGACCTTTATTGTTCGTGCAACAGTCACCTCGCGAAGGCGATGGTTTATGACGAACACATATTCATGTAACTTCGTTGTAACTATCATTTAGTTGTGTTTCACACTAACATGAACAATATTGGGACGATTATACTACACAAATCACCGATGTGTCATTCTTTATTCAACTATTTCTCAAAGAGGCATATGTAATGCATACACAGAGATATTTGTTATGGATAACAATGTGCTTTATGTGAGTGTACTCACGGCATTTGAGGTTCGTGTGGGGTGTCCTCTGCCTCCTCTATTGTATGAAGTGAGATCTTCTCAGAGACATCCGCGTCTGTCATGTCTGAAGAAACGAACCTATGTCGTCTGCTCCGCGGTTTGAAGAGTCTGTCGATCAGAGAAAGGCCACACATTTGCAATTCAACTCAGGCAGGCGGCCACAGAGACAAGAACTCGCCCCGCTCATGGAAATCACAGCAGAAGTGTAACATCGCACGGTAGCTGTCCGCTTCATCGAATACCCCAGTTTCTACTTTTTCACACACCCCATTGCCAGGCCATGAAGCATAAAATGTATCTGGCAGTGAGTCATTGATCTTCGTGTGGTCGACACAACTAGTAATGGAGATTAGTGAGTATTGGCGTCATCCATTAACACATCTGTAATATCCCCATGAAACAAACCTTCAGATGATAAGCTAATGACCCCATGCATCTTCAACTCGCCACGTCTTCCCTCCCAGCATAGAAGATACACCTTATTTTCCGACTATGTCTTTCCCAAAATACACAGTGACATGGTAATTCCATAAAGCTTTATGCACAATTCCACTAGGCGGATGTTCATAAGTCAAAGTTCCTATCATACCTGAAAGTAATTCGTTTATCGTACAGATTTGAATAAAATTCCAGGGAATATCATATTTATGAACATGTCATATCTATCCGTTTTCTCTGGAAAGGACAAGCAGTCACATGTTTGATGCTGCTCGTGCAGGAAGGGAACAGCCTTTTTTCGTTTACACGCTGAGATTCATTACACCAAGAAGATTGTATTCAAATCAAATACATTTCTCATATGCCATTGCGAATTACACAAGCCAAGACAAATGACCTGCTGACTTTGTCTGAAGTCGTGTCACTCGGTCGATGTCAATCCTCCTCCCAACGAGCGTCGTCTATTCTAATACTCTGTTCCTTGCATAACACGTTCGCCTCATCTCCTGTATGTTATCCACAGACTAACAGCACTCTGTTGATTCAGAGTAGCTTGTCTTGTCTCTTCTCACAGCGGATGGCTGGCCTCCTCAAACTAAAACAAGAATAAACATATAAAGTCAATTTTGTATAAAGACTATGCACGTACGTCATTCTCTGATCAAGCAGCTGCATGTAAATATGTGAACGCCACCGCCACGTTTGCTTTACGCAGACATGAGCTTACATCGATTCCAGAGAAGTCATCCATGCCCGAAAGGTACCGTTACCAGTGAAATTGTCCAGATTAGTGTAACCCTTGTTCATCGAATCATTGGTTCGGAACATGACCGTTTGCATGGATATATGATATAGCTACGCCATAAACTACAAAGAACAATGACAAACGAAGCGTGGTTTATTTAACGATATAATAATATTGTTCTCTCATGACCTTATTTCTGGATATGACGACGTTTTTTTCTGTGCTCGCAACTTGATGACGTAATATTTGGACGATGTTATTTTTGAGAGGGAACTTTCTAGGAAGTTGTTCCCCATAGATGTAACTGAGCAACGTAGATAAACGCAATGGCTGAAAGTTCGCATCCAAAACTGGGAGGGATATGACAATCGGTATTGGGAGAATAGGTAAGGATAACCTACGTGAAATGTATGAAAACATGCAGGTAAGACAAATTTTACCCTCTGTTAAAAAATGGACTTACCCGAGGTAGGATTCTATCCAGGGAGTCATCCTTTTTTAAATACGGGTAAATAGTTTTAAAGCTTGTACATTTTATTAAGAACCCTAAAGAGATGGAAAAACTATTGATATCTCAGGGGCGGTCGGGTAGCCTAGTGGATAAAGCGTTCGCTCGTCACGCCGAAGACCAGGGTTCGAATCCCGTAATGGGTACAATGTGTGAAGCCCATTTCTGGTCTCCCCCGCCGTGATATTGCTGGAATATTGATAAAAGCGGCGTAAAACCATACTCACTCACTCACTCACTCACTATTGATATCTCATGTCCCTCATAGTTTATTCTGCAGTGTATTAGTGTACGATAAACAACGACAACGAGCCGTTTGTTTCTTAAATATGCTCCATTCACAGTCCAGTAGGTCTCCGGACTAACGAGGTTTGTTAGAAATGTAATCGAATCGACAGTGGACTCTACATTCGTCACCACTCGCCACTTTCCGTAAACTACAAGATGAATACGACAAACCAATCAGAATGCGCGTATCACTTCAAGTACTTCGGTCAAAGACTCCTTCGGGTATATTTTTATTTTATTTTATTGATGTCTTGCACCTAAAAATATACCCAAGATACACTTAAACGTTTTCAATCAAACTTTATAATACCATAAGTCCTGATGTGTTTTTAATAGCATCTGGAGTATATATGATATATCTGGGAAATATACGTGAATCATTACTCAACGATTTGAAAATTCTTTTAGCTATGCCCGTTTGCGCTTAGACGGAATCCAGTCGTAAAATTGGCTACCCGACGATCAAGAGTTGCTGATCAGAGGATATTTCTTATGATTATGAGAAGGGTTTTGTCACTTTTATTCACTTCATACCTTCACTTCATACCTTCACTTCATACCTCCACTTCATACCCTAACTTCATGCCTTCAATTCATACCTTCACTTCATACCTTCACTTCATTCCTTCACTTCATACCTTCACTTCTTTCCTTCACTCATACCTTTACTTCATTCCTTCACTTCATACCTTCACTTCATTCCTTCACCTCAAGCCTTCAATTCATACCTTCACTACATTCCTTCACTTCATGCCTTCAATTCATACCTTCACTACATTCCTTCACTTCATACCTTCACTTCATTCCTTCACTTCATACCTTCACTTCATACCTTCACTTCATTCCTTCACTTCATCCCTCACTTCATACCTTCACTTCATTCCTTCACTTCATTCCTTCACTTCATTCCTTCACTTCATACCTTCACTTCATTCTTCACTTCATTCCTTCACTCCTTTCCTTCACTTCATACCTTCACTTCATATCTTCACTTCATTCTTCACTTCATTCCTTAACTTCATTCCTTCACTTCATGCCTTCACTTCATTCTTCACTTCATACCTTCACTTCATATCTTCACTTACTTCCTTCACTTCATCCCTTCACTTCATTCCTTCACTTCATGCCTTCACTTCATTCCTTCACTTCATTCCTTCACTTCATTCTTCACTTCATTCCTTCGCTTCTTTCCTTCACTTCATACCTTCACTTCATGCTTCACTTCATACCTTCACTTCATTCTTCACTTCATACCTTCACTTCATAGTTTCACTTCATTCTTCACTTCATTCCTGAACCTCATTCCTTCACTTCATGCCTTCACTTCATTCCTTCACTTCATACCTTTACTTCATACATTCACTTCATCCCTTCACTTCATTCCTTCACTCATACCTTAACTTAATTCCTTCACTTCATCCCTTCACTTCATTCCTTCACTTCATGCCTTCACTTCATTCCTTCACTTCTTTCCTTCACTTCATTCCTTCACTTCATTCCTTCACTTTATGCCTTCACTTCATGCCTTCACTTCATTCTTTCACTTCATACCTTCACTTCTTTGCTTCACTTGATACCTTCACTACATTCCTTCACTTCATTCCCTCACTTCATACCTTCACTTCATACCTTCACTTCTTTCCTTCACTCATACCTTAACTTCATTCCTTCACTTCATACCTTCCCTTCATTCCTTCACTTCATGCCTTCACTTCATGCCTTCACTTCATTCCTTCACTTCATACCTTCACTTCTTTGCTTCACTTCATACCTTCACTACATTCCTTCACTTCATTCCCTCACTTCATACCTTCACTTCATACCTTCACTTCATTCCTCCACTTCATACCTTCACTTCTTTGCTTCACTTCATACCTTCACTACATTCCTTCACTTCATTCCTTCACTTCATGCCTTCACTTCATGCCTTCATTTCTTTCCTTCACTTCATACATTCACTTCATACCTTCACTTCATTCCTTCACTTCATACATTCACTTCAAACATTCACTTCATACCTTCACTTCATTCCTTCACTTCATACATTCACTTCATACATTCACTTCATACCTTCACTTCATTCCTTCACTTCATACCTCCACTTCATTTCTTCACTTCATTCCTTCATACGTCATACCTCTAGATAATTGTGACATTATGTCATGTTTGTTTATCAATTAGAATGTGACCTTGATTTGGCTGCTTTCGTTCTTCTAGTTCCGTTGGGTATTCTAGGCATTCTAGATATGTCAGGTATTATTGGAAGCTCAGAACTAAAGGAATTACAAATCCGTCGGCTCTAGATATAACTCTATGTTCTGGGGTAGATGTGTGTCTTACATGGTAATCTATGGGAACAAAAGAACGTCAGTGAAACCACGTTTACCAAATGTAAGTGCGTTACGAAAATATATATTGTATAGTCCCATCATTGTATTTACCCATTTGTTCTGTCATGGCACCACTACCAGCAATGATACTGATAATGATGCTGCCTGGTAAAGACTTGTTTTAATCAGACAATGTTGATTTTTTAAACATATACGAGTACCAGTATGTGAAGAGACATAAATTATAATTTATTAACTGCATTTTTACCCAATAATACTTAGAAATCCATATTTGGTTAAATTTGCACTGAAGTCGTATTTATCTATCTATATGGTTTAGTGGATAGAGCGTTTGCTTGTAGTGAAAAAGGTTAGTGGTTCGATCCCTTGGCTGCGTCATACCAAAAGACGTTAACAGATGTTGTACTTGTTGTTACTCTGCCTGCCGATCGGCATGAAGGGGGCAAAATAAGGACTGGCCTGATCGGAATCAGTATAATGTGTCTGAGTGGGGTATTCATGTTGAACTGCGTCATGGTATCTCAGTGAATTAGCACTGCAAAATCAGCTTAAGTCCGAACTAGTACAAGCAGCCATACACACACGTGTATGAACGTCCCTTTATGAGTGAAATACATTAAAACAACATTTCTCTTAGCCTCACCGCATCTACCTAAACGAAATACTTAAAATTGGTTCCCAGTTATATATACACAAGTTCCTGTGACACCAATATTTTAGTGTATTTTTCAAACAAGTAAAGTTTGGTTTTCAATATTGTAGTACATGTATGGAAAAACCCAACTGCAACAGAAAAGCATGCATTCCATGCAAAAATTGACTTTTATGCAAGCCCTATGCATTTCACTACCAAATAATGGGTATAAAAACATGTGCGTTAACGGGATTCCATATGCATTTTCTATTCGGGGGTGGCAGCGTTATGGTAATGGGTGGGATTACAGCAAGACAGAGGACCCGTTTGATAGTAGTAGAGGGAAATCTCAATGGTCAGCGCTACCGCGACGACATCATCGGCCCTGATGTTCTACCGTTTTTGCGTCGTCATGGCCCAGGTATTACCTTTCAACATGACAACGCCCGGCCTCATATTGCTCGACTTGTTTAGGATTCACTTCAACAAAACAACGTGAATGTCATCCCCTGGCCGGCTCGCTCCCCTGATCTCTCACCAATCGAGCACATGTGGGATGAGATGGATCGGCGCCTTCGACGTCAACCACGTGTTCCACAGACACTCCAGGATTTCGAAACATGCTCCAGCAGATATGGACAGATATCCCACAGGACTTTGTGCGACGCCTGGTCTATTCCATGAGACGAAGATGCGTTATTTGCATCGCAACCAGAGGTGGACACACACGCTATTGATTTGTAAATTGACATTTTGGCATGTTCATGTTTTTTTTTTATGAAATCACGCATTTTCTGAAGTCAGTATGGCAAATTAAATCATTTGAACACTTACAGGAGTCGTTTATCTGTTGCAAACCGAAATTGTTTCAGATTTGGTAAAAAACATAACTTTGCATTAAATCTTATTCAATGTCACAGGAACTTTTGTTGTTCAGTATATGTTTCTATCATGCCTACCAACCATTGTGTCAAAGTAGACACAATTTAAGGATATCAGCTTCTTTATTTACAATAGATAAAGACGTTGTTATCCATACATTGTGTTCACTTTGTCATTCGTCAAGATA